AAGCTCCGACTCTTTATGTATCTTGAAACAAGGCTCCGCCTCTTTACAGTTAATTTGAGACAAGGCTTCGCCTCACTGGGAGGTGGGGCACTGGACAACACCAAGTTTCTGCTAACAGTTTTTATATTGTATACAAATCAGTAGAACTTCATTGGTCTAAAAGTGTCGTTCACATTGAAATGTAATTGTTCTCACCCGGATCAGGAAGTCCGGCAGAACAGACAGTTTGGTCATGGGACTGCTGGTGAACGCCACAGTTGCTACCGGAGCCAAACCGAAGAACAACCGGATCTTACTGGCCAACTCTGGCAGCGTGGAGAACGCTATGAATGCTGGGAAATGAGATGCAGAGAAGTCCAAGACGATTTCCAAAGACAAATGTGTTTACACCACAAACAGTAATGATTCCATGAAGCGGTCAGTGAGTGTGGTACCGATGGTGGTTCCCTGAGAGTGTCCAATGTAGAAGATCTGGTCCTGAGCGGTCACCTTCAGAACGTGGTTTATCACAGCTGGAAGGTCCTTTAGAGCCATCTCATCATAACTACAGACATGATGAAGGTCAAGAAGCTGACACGACTTTTACCAGCACCAACAGAATATTTTAAATGACTCTGAAACTACTCAGAGACATCAAACCTGAGTTAATGATTCTACCATCAACAAGCTCACCTAAACCTCCAGAACTCCTCCTGGTCTGGGCTCAGAGTCAGGTGTTTCCTGGACCAGGTGTTTCCTCGGCTGTTTCCAATCCAAACGTCGTAGCCTGCATCTGCCAGCACGTAGCCCAGACTGGCGTTAGGCGGGTTGGTGACCCAGTTGCTGCCAGCAGCCAGAAGACCGTGTTGCAGGAAGACGGCAGGTCTTGGACCTGAGGCACAACGGGATTCAAGGTTCTTTGTCATTCGCAACATGTAGTCCATGAGGTGGAACGAAACTGTGTACCGTACACAGGGTCCCAGTTACACCCAACAACAGCAGAAACATAAAATGTAAAAGAAACGGTAAAAAGATATGAACTAAGAATACACTAAACACTAACAGTACAAAACAATACGCCCAACAGCAGCACGAACATGAGTCTGTGTGAGCAGAGGACGACATATGAACAGCAGCATGAAACAAATCAGCAGCATAAGATCAGCAGCATGGGTAATCAGCAGGGGTGGAAGTAAAGAATTACAAATACTCACATTACCGTAATTAGATTATTATGAGTACTTGTACTTTCATGAATATTTCTTTCACGTGTGTAATTTTACTTGTAGTTAAGTACAATTTAGTCCATGTCATCTACTTCGCTACTTTTAAAATCAGAAGTCGCTACAGATACGGCCACAATTTGAATTAATATTCAAAGTGTCCAGAAGGCTGCAAAGTTCAGAGCTTCATGGTGATGTTCTTGTGCTGCAGACACCTGCAGCTGCAGCTGCGCTGGTCCTCACAGCCGAACGAAGCCGGACCGACTGCTGCTGACACGGAACCAACGTTCAGGACACCTGTGAGTTCAACACTCACCTGCCTGTTGTTCAGTGGATCTGGAAAAGTTCAAACTGTTCTATGCCGGTTCAGAAACATTTGTCTTTCTTTCAACAAACAAAATTCCTGCTTTATCTACATTTGTTTACAAAAAAAGGCCTTAGTGTAATTTTTCTATACTTTTACTGTTCGTCTGAGAAAACCGTGCTGCACCAGAAGCAAAGGACCAACTCTGCAATTTGAAAACCCCCGTCTGACAGAACTTCCTGTTTGTGGTCAGGTGACAGGAGTGAACTTCCTGTTTGT